CACACACACACACACACACACACACACACACACACACACACACACACACACACACACTTTATGATGAAGAACACACACACCTCCAGCATTAGACAAACACAGCTGGCTTAGATGTATGGTCCAAAATGGTCCTCTAAGCCAGTCTGCCTCTTTAAGTGATGTTGGAATACTAAACTGCAAACAATGACACGTAACGCTCTTTAATCTCAGCAAACATTTTCATAACAACATGTATCACGAGGGAAACATTATCAAACATTTCAGCGTGACTGTGAGACATGCGTTACTGGACCTTTAACAGTTTGGGATGTATACGAGATGAGAAAATCGTTTCCATGGCATACATGTGTGTATGTTTGTATATTATGCAAGTATGGAGCGAGAGAGGTGATTAACTTAGCATAAACACTGGAAATTGAATATGTAACGGTTTTTTCCCCACAAGAAATGAGTTATAACTCCTTTAACTGGGCTTGTATGACTTAAATAAACAGTTTAGAGGTAGTAGGAGGCATATAATTAAACTTTGGACAGCCAGATTTTTTTCCCCTCAGTCTTTATACTAAGCTAGACTAGTTGCCCCCTTTCACAAGCTTCACAGGCTACTGTAAGCACAGGTGGTGGAGACCAAAAAAAGACAGCTAAGCTTATTTACCACACTGTCTTTTAAAAACTCCTACATTTATGATTTTCTTCAGCATGATTACATTGCACTGGCTGTTTTATAAAAAAGAATACTATCTAAGCCTGAGTTGGTGACTTTAACTAAGAGTGTTTCTTTTTCAACTGACATCTGAGAGCAAAGGAAGCCAGTCAGAAGTAACTCGACTCATTTGGAAATTATATTATCGTCCTGTTTTATGTTTTTGATTCACGTGTCTTTGGCGATATGTTGTTAGCATATAGCACTGTTTAATAAACAGATTAGACTGGAATTAGCAAACTTTGAGCTTTCCTTTATTAGTAAACTTGGAGAAGCAACAAAAAAATCCTACTGATTTTGACAAATCTACAGAATCTGTTTGTTTCCAGCTGAGTTAGTGTGAGTCTGGGTATGTACACGCGCTTGGGTAAAATGGCTGAATTTTGCTGTTCTTTTAAATGTAACTTTCCAGATCAAATACACATGCTGTCTGGCAAGTATAACAGATTCCATAAACACTTGGCACTCTGTAGGTCTCTGTAATTGACAGGTGATTTTTTTTAAAGACCCCATTCTAAGCTTGCACGTTTAACCATTAACATGTGAACGTCAAATTAATAATAGCGTGCTATTATAATTCCTAATCATCCATGAGACTGTGTGTGTGGGGGGGGGGACGACGACTTAATGACACTTTAAATTATAAGACCACCAAGCAAGGATTTTTCTTCCAAAATAAAAGAGACTCTCCAACACAAATACATAATGTCTCCTGAGTCGAGCTGGTGGAGGTGTTATAACCGTTCTATGACTGGATAAAGGTAGATTAGGTTGTGCTTATAGATTATGAGCAAATGTTGAAAAGGAAATGCAGCTACAGTGCTGTGAAAAAGGGTTTGTCCTCATTGTTAAATCATGAATTAAACAATTAACCACAATTTTGGAAAGCTAAGCTCAATTTCACTGGCTGCACCCAGGCCAGATTACTGGCAGAGCTGTTGAATCAAAACATCAGTGAAATAGATCCTGTCTGATGAAATGAGGCAGGCTAAGACCTCAAAAAGCATCACATCATCTAAAGAAACATAGAAAGAAGCAGCTGAGAAACAAAGTCACTGACATTTATCGGTCTGGAAATGATTGCAAAGCCATTTCCAAGGCTTTGGGACTTCAGTGAAACATTGGTGAGAGCCATTACACACAGGGAGAAAATTTCTAACAGTGTCAAACCTTCCAAGGAGTGACGGGCCTGCCAAAATTACCCCAAGACCACATCGACAACCCATCTAGGACTTCCCAAAAAAAGCAGAACGACATCTAAAGAATCGCAGGCCTCACTTGCCTCAGTTAAGGTTCATGATTCAACAATAATAAAACAAATGGCTCTAAAAAACAAAACGGCAGTTCTGGAGTGGCTTAGTCAAAGTCCAGGTTGAGATGCTTTTTGGTATAACCTTAAACAGGTCGTTCATCCTTGAAAACCTTCCAATAACGCTGGACTCATTAAAACAATTCTGCGTAAAAGAGTGGGCCAAAACGGCTATGTGAAAAGATGCATTTCCAGTTATTCCTGCTTGACTGTGGTTCTTGCTGGGTCTTTGCTATTTCCCTCTAGGCGAACACTTTTTTCACAAAGAGCCAGGTAGCTTTGGATAACCTTTTCCCTCAATGAATGACAACATCATTTAAAATTTGCATGTTCCATTTGCTTGGGTAAACTGTGTTAACTTTGACTCTTCTCTGTAAATCATATTTGCATTATGTATTTTTTGTAGAGAATTTGCTGCTAGATCTTGTGCTGTTTAAAAAAAAATCCAGTTTTAGGATGTGCTCGCGCTAGGCTCAGTTGCTTTATTCTGGTCTCGAGCCTGATGTGTCCCCTCCTCACTGCCCTGCTAGCTTGTGCTTACGGTGCTCTTAGTGATTAAAGCCCTAGTAATCTTCACTTTACCCAGCATCTCAGCTTTCTGACGATGATTTTGTTGATTAACTGGGGAAGCAGTGACACACTGGCTTCTCTTATATATGACGAACCACAGATAAGGCCGGTCAAAGACACAAACCAAGAATCCCAGCTGTGCACAAAAACAGCCAAACTATGACATAATTAAGAGCACTCAGACTTTCCAATACTTGCCGCCTCTGTTATCTTACCTTTGTGATCTGGAAATATCGCTCAAAAGTATTAAAATGTAGTAAATAGTTATTCTGATACATAAACAGCAAATAAACAGAGCATAATTTAGCCTCAAATTCTTGTCCAGTACACCAGTCATCTGTGGATGTAACCTGGCCAGTCAGTCAGCAAACTTTGCTCCATTAGTGATGCTGATGACTTTTCCATCTTTAGCCTGTGGCGATAACCTACAGCGTTATCTCCACGTTATCATTATGGTCCCTTTAAAACCAATCGTTTATGTGCTACAAGTGACTATTTGTGACTATTAAAAAAACCAACACAGTGTGATATGACCAAGGTAATTAATAGAAATTAAACAATTGATAGGAAATAAATAAGTTATGTTTGAGGAAGCTCTGGCATTCTGTGCCCAGATAATTATCACAGATATTGATAACCCAGGAACACCTTGACCCGTGGGTTGGAGGACAGGATAGAATCAGCTCTGCTGTTAGTGGAATTAATGATAGAACAAGATATATTATTTATCACATAACTACATTAACAAATGTTTCAAATGCCTTCCACAGAGAAAAATTGGGAAAAATGTGTATTTCCTGAGTGGTTGGCGAGTGGTTGCTGTAGGTTACTGGCTGAATCCAGATAAAATCAGTCACAAAAGCTATACGTTTGTTTTCTTCTTTTGCCTTCTCTCTTTAGGGGTCACCACAACAGATCATCTGCCTCCACCTCACATTATCTAAAATATCCTCCTCTGTCACAATAAACATGAGTACATTCTATCCAGCTTTGTAAGGCTTCAGTCACACAGGGATAGAGACCGGTTAGTGTATCTCTGGCAATCACCAACCTCCAGCAACCACTTGCCTTTCCATGGCTGCTGGAGGTTGTTGTCAGTGGGTGAAATTGGTCACAAAGAGCATGCAACTTTTGATATATGTTAAATGCAAGTGAACATTCCCTGTTTCTGAGTGGCTTCACACTCTTCACAGTTTTGTTAGCACTTAGTGAGCAGTTGGCAAGTGTTTGCAGACCAGTCAGTGTCTAACTACGGGTGATTGCAGCAATCTGCTAGTTGGGAGTGAGCATGAGGGACGAGATTAGCTCAGATCAAGAGAGAGAGACAATGCTGTGATGATTTGGACATATACAGAGCGGGGATGGTGGGTATCCCAAACAAAATATGTCATGGGAGGGGAGGAGAAAAAGAGGAAGACCACAGAGTTCATGAATGTAGTTTTAACAGAAATGTAAAGGAAAAGGAAAATGTTTATTGTGACAGAGGAGGATATTTTAAATAATGTGAGGTGGAGGCAGATCTGCTGTGGTGACCCCTAAAGAGAGAAGCCAAAAGACTGTATAGCTTTTGTGACTAATTTTATCTGGAGTCAGCCAGCAACCTACAGCAACCACTCGCTAGCCAGTTAGGAAATACACATTTTTCCCCTAGTCACAGGTTGTTGCCAGGAGCCACCAAACCATCTCTAGGTCTGTGTGACTTAAATAAATAAGCTGAGGTGAAGCTTACCACACAGCTAACAACTGTAACTGCCCGTTTTGGTTTTCACTACTTAAAGTAACAACACCTCACTAATGTTAACTGTAAGCCAAACTTGAAACTTAAATAGGCGTGTTATAAACAAATCACCCCGTGTTCAGTTGTCACAAAGATGAAGAGTAGCAGCCAAAGAGCATGTTTCAGTAAAAGTTTGGCATCTTAACATGTAAGTGTGTAGCAGTTAGTCTCAAGCTGTCATTTGAGAAACTAGAGTTTTGGGCAATCTGCCTGGTTAATTTAACCTCTGTTTTTAAAATTCTGTCAGAGTCTTGTGCTTTAAAACTGTTTGGTAGAAATGCTCTCTTTAATTGAATGAGGTGTGAAAGTGTTCTTGGATTAGTAAAAGTGGACGAGGACAGTTTCTGATCTTTACGGCCATTGTCCACTTTCCATTAAAATGTCAGCAAATTCTTAAGTTAACATTTAATAAGTCTTTCCCAACAAACTGGCCGTTCCTGCACTGAAACCTGAGACCACCACAGGGTCAACTGCGGATTCATTCAGCTGCACCTGCATTTACACACATATACAGATGTTGCTCCTGGACATTTCTGGCTTCTATAGATGACCACAGTGAGAGCAGCGTGAGAGCCAAAGGGTGACAGCATTGTGCCTGTGTGTTAGCGCACTTGACAGATCCGGTCTTTGTTATCAGCGTGTGGGTGGCTTTTGTATATATATGAATAAAAGGTCCTGAAAATCAGTTATTTTTCCATTTTGTTTCCTGCTTTTTCCGGTAAGTTTTCAGAGCTGCCCTTGTCATTAGAGAACACCCTTCACTACAAACATCTGTGATCACCTACTTATTGCAGCAGCACATGCAGTGGGTGCGCTGGGAGGTTAAATTGAGGTTGTTCCTTTGGAAAAAGCCTGCATTTTAGTTAAAAGAACTAAAGCAGCAAGCCTTGGGTTCAACTCAGCACTTTCACAGTTCAGTTATTCCTCCTACCTTCATCACACAGGTTGAGTTTGGACAAGTTGTGTCCATCATAGGCCTCTTCATAAATCGAGACGTTCTCTCTCTCTTCATTTGTGCTCAGATACATGGCCTTGTTCTCCATCTCCTCCTGAGAGAACAGAGAAAATACATATGCTTATTTTAGGATTGTAATCTCTCTAAAACCAAAATAAATATTTGAAAGTTTAATCTAATGTTGAGTGAGTTTACACGCACATGGAAACCAAAATCTGGATCAGTCCGCTTCCTGTATATTAGCTACATTTCAGTATTTTATTTTGGTTAGCTTCAAATGCTAATATTTAAAATGATCTGCTCAGAAACCATGCTGTTATACAATGTTCAAGCAGAGACACAGCTTCTTCATCCTAAAAACAGCATGTGATGTTAACTGAAGATTAAATGTACAGTTTTCACTACTTACATTGTGACTGCAATGGTTGCAGTTATTGAATGTACTTTTTCAGTGACTGTCAACCACTGTCTATACGCAAAATATGGGCACAGCCACCTTAGAGTTGCCACCTTTGTGTGTTGAAACCAGAGTGCATTTCTGCTAGTAGGAAACTAAAAGAGCCATGCTCATACAGGATTGATTTGTCAATCACAAGGTAGGCATGCACAAAACCAGACCATTCTTTATCATACCTTTTGACGACAAGTAAACAGCAAACTGTCTACTGAGGGCATGAATCAAAGGAGTCGACATTTTTTCCCTCATAGATTTCCACAATCTGACTTCAACTTCCATCTTTCTTTCTACACAGTCCACACTGTCAGCATCTCACAAGTACAGGTGGTCCTTAAAAAGTAAGCGTGAGCTACTGCCTTCTATTACTGCAAATGAGGTAGAGCAGCTGTGGGAGCGCTGATCAGCTTTAAACAACAATAAACACACATTTCCAAGCTAAACAGAAGGAAACGCTTATGATATGGCAGTCTTTAAGCCAGTGTTATGCGATTTGTTTCCTCAGCCAGCAGAGATGGAGAGAAGTCATGTTTCAGCCCAATTACATTAGTCTTTTTGCTTTTAGAAAGCAACATTTAGAAAAGGTATGAATGAAAACACATAAAACATTATGAAAGGTCAGTCATAGGCCATGAGAAAAGGAGTTATTCACCTTTCATACCAACTGGCAGTGAGCAGTTTGTGGAAGTGGCTTCTGCTTCTCAAGCAATTTGGTTTAACTTCTGTGCCAGTTTTCCAAAACATGGTGGAGTATTTGAATGTCAGCCCAAGTGGAAATGGTAAGTGAGTAAATATGGAGCTGGTAGCCATACTCAATTTTATAAATTATCTGATGAACAGTGTATCTAATTAACAACCACTTTCTGAAATATATTGAGTCTGCAGTGGCAGCAGAATAAGAAATTTTGCCCACAAAAATAAAAAGCAGTTTTTGCTCTGTACTTTCTGGATGTTGGATTTTTGGTTAGATGGGATACTACTGTTGAGAGATTTCCAGTTTACACATATGCTGTTTTCATATCTTTAAACATGTGATAACGCAAGTTTTAAACATGGGAATGTACTGTGTTTGATTGTATTAGACAATTAAGTTTTCACTTACATGTTAATACTGTAACCAGTAAATAATCACTGTTTAATTACGCATTTTTTCCAGACACCTAGGTAAACACAAGTACTTGGAATGAGAAGGATCCGTGTTGTAATTCCAATTTAACCCTTGATTGAAAACATGACTTAATTACCAGTAACTAAGCTGGGGATTACAGCCAGTTTAGCATCATATGAACACTACCATTTCTAATTTGAGATTCCAGCAATAATTTGAAGAGTAATAACTTATGATAACATTAAAAGTAAATGATTTAATTAATCATTAGCTCAAGTGTATCTTTGAGCTTGAACAACTAGAATCCGGCAGACTGCTTAATATTTCCAAATATATTGGTGGAAAAAAAGAAGAAAATGCGAAGAAAAAAATTCTAACACTGTGAAATGTAAAAAATTATATTAGCAAAATTCATTACTGCATTTTGTTTGACTTTCTATTTTCTCTCAAATACCCAAGGTGAGGAATGCAGAGCATTTTAACAGATTTATTTATGGATTCCAGTAGATCCTTCTCTTGGAAGCAGTAATCCCACCTTGAGCACCAGGTTGACAGTGTCATCAAGCAGCTGAGTTACATGACCTCTTGTGTAACTCAGTTTTAATAAAAGCACACAGAGGTTTACATTTTATTTAAGTCTTAAGGACTTAAATAAGACGAAGAACTTATTAGCATGCACGTTTAGGTTCTAATAGCATGAACTCGTTCACCAGACTGTTTACTTTACGTCGAGCATGTTTACTTTTCTAGCTTGGGCAGGGTTTCCCACAGTATGCATAAGGCAAACCAAATATGAATAATATAAAAGGAAACACAGGACAAATAAGACAGGGATAGAGAGGTTATGTCAGACACCTCAGAGGGATAAAATGAAATCTGCTGTAGTACGGAGTCGTGGGTTTTAAACTTCCACAAACCCTAGTGGCAGATCTGTGAGTATTTGAGAAAGTCATTAAAAAGCGTTCAGTCAAGTCTCTCATTAAAGATAGGATAGGGGGTCAGGTTGACATTTAGACTAAGACTAGGCAGAAGCCATTGGGGTTGCTAGGTGACTCCACTAAAAACTCCACACTCCCATACATGTGTTTGTGCGTGTGGGGAGAGTTATCTTCTAATTACACTGCGTCTGGTGGGATATAACACTTTTAATCGCTCAGTGCCAACAGAGGATGGTGGGAAAGCCAAGCAGTTAGTGTTTTACCTCTCCAGCTCTGCAACTACAGACCTTTGTTTTTTCTGGATTTGATCATAAAAAATTAATTAAAATAAACACCACATGAATATTAGAGAATTTTAAGCATGAAATGAATGAGATAGCTACACACATGCCCATACTTCAGTTTTGTTTACTGTGTGTGTTTTAATCGCTGATTATGTGGTTGCTAGGCAACAAAATGATGCTATAATATAAACATGCACGTTGCAGTGGATACAAATTAGATGTTAGTGTTGTGAAATTCAAAGGCTACAATGCTTTCATAAGGTGTTGATTTATAGGTGGTTGCTAGAAAGTGTGATGACATCATATCTGATATAGATGAGAACCTTCAGTGGCCTAAAACATGCCTGTTTGCCAGTTTTGATTGGTTGATTCCTGACATTCTTGTATATGCAAACCAACAAAGATTTTGTGTATTATAGTAATATAAAAGACACATTTTCAGAGTTCTGTGGTACACATACAAGGTAATTACAGAGAAATTAGAGCAGAGAAACAGCAATCAAAGAATCCTAAATAGAGATTTATGTGAGAATTTCCTAACGTCAAAAATGGCCGTTGTCGCAGCCCTCCTGTTGTTAGCTCCAAATTTAAGTCTGTTTGATGTCTGATGTCCATGTGAGAACAGTGCGGGTACTTGTTGGCGAATTAATACAGTAGCAAAGCACATTGGTATCCTGTCTACTTCCTGTTGCACATTCTGCTGAGGCAGGGCTCAGATCTAACCCAAAAGGAGAAAATTCAAGTAGTAACCAGGTCATGCCATGTTGTTGCTCCATGAGATTGGGATCAGGGGCACATCTACTCAATACACAGACTTGATCCTCCTAACACCATCCACAATTATGAGTGAAAAGGCTTGTTTTGGGAGTCATCTTACATTTAAGTAGATATATATTGGGGGAAAAGATGTTAGCTCCCACAGGATAATCATACTGCTTTTCATTTTGAACTACAAAGATCTTGTAAATCCACTTTAGACAAGCACTTTTGCATTAAAAAAAAAAACTAAAATCCAGCAAGTTCTTTCAACCAATACAAAAAAAAAAATGTCTTTGTAGTGTCATAACAGTGACCAGTACCTGCTTAAGTGATTGGTTGCAGGGCAGATTCCAAAGCACATTTGTTTTGTCATAATCACTATAGTATGTCTATATTGTATTTTGGCTCTTGGTCTATAATGCACCTGGCAACAAAATGTAAAGAGGCCACTAATTACATGCCTACTGGCCACAGTTTGAATGAAAAGAAAATGAAAAGCTTTGCTGTTAATAGCAAATTGTTGGGTCTGATAAAAGTAATAGAAACAAATCTAGTTACCTTGCCATCATGACTGTCTCCGCAACAGCCAGGGGATTTATTTTGACATTTATTTTGAAACAACACATAAATTATCTTTACTGTTTAATTAATTACCTTTTTTCAAGTGTTTTGTGATTTGTATTGAATCACCATTCAAATAACATGATAAGCACCACTTAAAGCATTTACTGACTTGAACCCGTGGAATTTATATTTCTTATTTTTGCTGATTTTCCATAGATTTCAATCCAGGATTCTCTGTTTGTCTCTTATAATATCTGCTCTGGTCAACTTCACTGAAGATGAATGCACAAAGAGTGAATGGGAATTCACTCAGCACAGCAGGCGGACCACTCTCAATTCTAGTAGCATAAGAGGAAGCAATTATCTTGTCATGCACTGTCGCTCTGTGAGATTTGCCCTCAGCAGAGAATCTGATCATCTGCGAGGTCAGAGGGACACGACGCGTGTGGTCTCTCCTGACAGTCTAAGTACATCGACAGAGATGAATTAGTGCATGTGTAATTGGAATAAATATATATTTTCAAAACATTACATAACACCCAATGTCAAACTGCTTTTCAATACGCAATAAATAATCCCTACAATCAAAAACAATCCCTGTGATCAAAACTAAAGCTCACAGCTCAGTTTGTTCCATAAAATCTGAGCTTGGATCCCTTGAAAGCGTCACAGTAAGGCAAACACTCCACGCCATTGTTCAGTCATCCGTGTGCAACATTAACCCATTTTTCTCGGTTAATTAGCAGAGATACTTCATCCATGACCGCGGAAACACAAAGCAACAATTTTCTGAGGATGAGTTCCATTAAGTGTGGGTTTCCTGTCCTTGTGTAGCGCTGAGCTCCAATAAATTGTATGCAGCAATTCAGCTTAATAGTCTAATAGCAATAAAAGTGGAACACATGTCAATAAATCAGCAACTCTACAAAGGTCGAAACAGCCCAGTTGGTGGTTTTACAGATGAGGGACAAACGTCATTAACCTATGAACGCACTAATTAACTTACCAAGCCTTGGTAAATCTGTTACTCTTACGCAGATTTCCCGAGAGCCTACTTATGTGATTTATACTAGAGATCCTCTGTGTGTACACATTGCATGATACCCTTTTTCAAATGAATGACAGACCAGACAGATGCATATTTAAGTCAAAATTCGTTACATATTTTCTCAGATAATGCTAAGCCTGTGCGACATCCTGAAGGAGAGAAGCAGCACGAGTCCTCCTGTCTCACCTTTTCAGCTGTCAACGGGAAATAAAATTCACTGCTCCGCGTTTTTCATAATTGCCCTCAAAATTCTGCGTCCTGACGCTCTCGCTTCCTTTTTTCAGTGGCTCAGCTCTCAAAAAAATAATGAAAACTACAAAACAAAAAGTAATCGGTAAAGTTTCTAATAGTACAGGGACATGCACAGCCTCTGTCAGTGCTGCGGAGACAGGCAGCAGCTCTGTAGTGGAGCGCAAACTGTGACATTTTGGGGTAATATACCCATAACAACGTCATGTGACCATCACTAAACTCCAGCTGAAGTTGCCGAGCAGCTGGGACAGAGGCTGCGAGGTGAAGATGATGACACTCACCTGTTGTACACGAGCGCTCTCTGTTGGATGGAGGTAATAAAACAAAGTGAGTTTGTGTCCCATCTTCTTCCACTTTTGGTTGCTTCCTTTAGGGGTCGCCACAGCAAATCACCTGCTTTCATCTCCTCTGTCTTCCATCTCCTGCATCCTCATCTGGCACACCAGCCTTCTGTATGTCCCCCTTCACTACATCATCGTTCATATCTGCAGTCTACCTCTTTTTCTCCTGACTAGCAGCTCCATATTCAGCATCTTTTGTATGCTGAATATGGAGCTGCTATTCACTATACCTCCTCTGTACATGTCCAAACCATTGCTGTCATGCCCCTATAACTTTGTAAACAACTCAAGCCACTCATGTTGAGTGGTTTGGAGACAGAAGTTAGCACCATGGATGAGTTGCCTCGTTTCAACACTAAATACATAAAACATTTTATGTCTGAATGAACAAATGCAGTGATAATAAAAGTGTTTGCTCACTTGATTTCACATTTTTTGTATGTTTGTCACACTTAAATGTTTCAGATCATCAAAACAATTTAAATATTAGAGAAATATAACACAAATAAACATAAAATGCAGTTTCTAAAAGTAGTAGTAGGGGAAAAAATCCAAACCTACATGGCCCTGTGTGGAAAAGTGACCCCCCACCCCAACACCCATAATTTTAGCATAAATTAACTGGCGTATCCCATCTTTGGAAATCTGAATTCAATTTCTCTAGCAACACCCAGGCCTGATTACTGGCACACCTGCTGTCAATCATAAATCTTAAACTTAAATAGAACCTGCAAGTCAGACATCATGCTGCAATCCAAGGAAATTTAGGAAGAAATGAGAACCAAAGTAAGTGACATCTCTGAGTCTGGAAAAGGTTATAAAGCTATTTCTAAAGTTGCAGGACTCCAGCGAACCACAGCGAGAGTCATTATTCACAAATGGCAAAAACATGGAACAGTGGTGAACCTTCCCAGGATTGGCTGGCTGACCAAAATTAACCAAAGAAGTCACAAAGACCTCCGAATAACATCCAAAGAACTGCAGGCCTCACTTGCCTCAGTTAAGGTTATTGTTCATGACTCCACCATAAGAAAGAGACTGGGGAAAAAAAATGGCCTGCGTGGCATAGTTGCAATACAAAAACCATTGCTGAGTAAAAGGAACAGAAATGTAAATCTTAGGTTTGCTGAAAAAAATCTTGATGTTCCTTAAGATTTTGGGAAAAAACTGACTGACGAGACAAAGTTGAGCTTTTTGGAAGGCGTGTGTGTCATTACATCTGGCATAAGGGTAACAGCAGTCTGCTGTCTACCAAAACATCCTGAAGGAGAATGTCCAGCCATCTGCTTGTGACCTCAAGCTGAAGCGTACTTGGCCTCTGATCCAAATGATCCAAAATACACTAGAAATACACCTCTCAATGATTTAAGAAAAGCAAAATGAAGACTTTCAAGTCTAGTAAAACTCCTGACCTGAATCAGATTGAGATGCTGTGGCATGACCTTAAAAAGCTGGTTCATGCTCAAAAACCCTTGAATATGGCTGCATGAGTGGGCCAAAGTTCTTCCACAGCACTGTAAAACACTCATTGCCAGTCATCACAAATGCCTGATTGTAGTTGTTACTGCTAAAGGTGGTCCAACCAGTTACTAAGTTTAGGGGGCACTCACTTTTTTTTAGAAACTGCATTGTGTTTACCTGTAATCTCTTTGCTTTCAGTACTGAAACGGAGTTTGTGAACTGGTGCCAGAAGTACCATCTCCAGATCAGTGCTGGGAAAAGTTGGTGGACGACTGCTGCAGGTACAAACCTTCTCCTTTACCAGAGAACATCCAGTGAAGAGACACTGAGATGAATTCTGAGAAGTACCTGGGGGTTCTTTTAATAATAAGCTGAACTGGTCATATAATGGAAGAGAACTTTAAGAAAGGACAGAGAAAACTGCATTTGCTCAAGAGACTCCTTGTTTTAAATGCAGATAAGACTGAACTATATCCTAAAATCAGTCAGGGACTGGCTTCTTTTTCTTCAACTGCTACATCAAGCATTCAAAATCAGAGTAATATTGGATTCGTCTCTGGGGTTTGACTCACATGCATCAAACATTTTGCGACACAGGGTTTCCTTAGCTGAACTTAAGAATATTATTCATACATTACATTGTTACATTGTTAGGTCTTTCTCAGTTTTTAACACATGAACAACAGTGTTATACACACAATTACCATTTGAGTTTGTGTCTTAAAGTGTTATAGATATTAAAAAGTGACTGCATGTATACTAACATGATATAGACAAAACAAACAACTGTGTAATTTTAGCTGCAAACAAGCTTTTTTAAAGTTTCTCCAGTTTGGTATTTTATTTTCTGCCTCACTTCAATCTATGTCGGTCAATTTTGGAATCCAAACCAAATTCAGTTTCTGTTTTAGAGTTAGAGGGTCTGCGAGTGCTGAATTAGTTTAAATAGTTTTATAAAGACATGCATAGTTTGCTGAGAAATGTTAATATTGAACAATTCTCCAATAAACACAGTTTGTATCCCTTGCTAACACTCGGAGGGCTAAAACAATGTATTTTCTTTCCCTCTTGTTTTCTAATATATGTGAAGTATATAATCATAGATTATAGGATTTTCCATTGTCCATAATATTGCTTTTCTTTTACATAAGTTACATTTTTGTGTAGCTAAATTGTTTTTGCAATATTAATTAAACTTTTAAAATGAATTAAATCCTGTATTGATGAACCATCAGAGTCAGCTAGTTGGTGTGGATGCTGGACATAAAAAGCATTCAGCTCCAATGCCAGAGACACACATTCTGGCTTTCAATCTGTGTATGTTTCAGTCTATGTATGTTCTGTTCACTGAGAAATGACTGAGATTTTTCTTATTTTTGGCGTGAGGATGGTGGAAGACTAATAGCACCTGCACCTCTCAAGGCCATACTGGTGGAGGGCACGAAAGCCTGCAGGAATCTCTGGCAGCCTGTGAGAGTCAAAACTTTGATAAGTCATAGGTAATAAGTAAATATTCAGTAACAGCACATATATGTTGTTGTTCACAAATTACAGACCCATTTCTCTACTCCCACAATTATTCAAAAATACTTAATAGACTGTATACATTTATAACTAAACAAAATATTACCAGGATTTTTCGGATTTAGATCAAACAGATCAACATCCATGGCATTAACTGAATTATTTAAAGAAGTTACAAATTGTGTCAATGAAACAAAGTAAGCAGCAGGAGTTTTTAACTTGAAAACAACCTCTGACACATTTGATGACAAGATGTTAAATGATACAATGGAAAGACCTCGTATTAGAGGGGTGGTGCTAGACTGGGTGAAAAGCATTTAGAGAGCAGGGACTCCTCAACATTCAGACTCTTCATCTTATATGCAAATGATATATGCAGAGCAGCAGATATATCGAAGTTCATTTTTATTTGCGGATGATACATATATTCTTTGTCATGGAGAGAATTTGCAACAGCTTTTGCAGGTCACGACACAAGAAATGACAAAACTAAAAAGATGGTCTGAAAAAAACAAATGATCACTTTTTTAAGAAAAACTCAAATTATGATATATGGAAACCTCAGAAAAATATGTACACTCAAAAAACCATCAAAGTCCTGAAGAAAACAAAGCTTCTGCTCAATCATAAATCACTTCATACACTTTATTGTTCTCTTATATTGCTATATTTAAATTGCTGTGTAGAGGTGTGGGGTAACACATGCAAAGGTGCACTGCAATAGTTATGTACACTTCAAGAATGAGCAATAAGACTAGCTTCTTCCCAGGAGAAATAAAGACGTGAATATCTGGCTTATACATGAATAAGATATGTGTAATTAATGGAGATGCTATAAGGATTTAAAAGACAAATTTTAAAGGATTTGAAATCATGGGAGACTACGGGAAAAGGATTAAACTAGCACAATGTGCTCACTTGTCACTTGGTCTGCTGGCTGCACAGTCTGGAGCTGATTTATAGATTTTAAGCTGAGTCAGGTGAAACCGCTGCTGAAATAGTGAAAGGAAAAAGCATGTAAGTACAAAATACTCTTCAATAGAAAATACTTTCCAAACAGTTGATTTTAAATGCATTTCTAAAATGTGTCTAAGACAGGAAAGAAGGAGACAGTCTTAAAATGCCACTCTTTTCCTCCTCCTCAAGTCTTATTCTCCTAGATTGAATTCAAACTCTAAAACAC